TTCATTTTGATATTTTAAAAATATTGCATTAAAATGTCCTTTGTCATGATGACTGAGTTTTGTGGCGCTTCCTTCAATCTTACTCCTAACTGAGTACCTCACTTGCTTCACTGTAGTCCAGGCCCTGTGAATAATTGAATAAATGAGTTCATGCACCAACAATGATGTTGTACAGATGAGAAAACTGAGACAAACGTGCAGTAGGCTACACAACTCATTGGTGTTGATTCTTTCAGCATTAGAACATAGACTTCATGATTGTTCATTCCCGGAACTTTTTTTTTATTCGTTTATTCATATGTGCATACAATGTTTGGGCCATTTCTCCCCCTGCCCCTCACTCTCTCCCTCTTCCCCCACCTCCCTCTCTTCCAGGCAGAATCTGTTCTGCCCTTTTCTCCAATTTTGTTGAAGAGAAAGTATAAGCAATAATGAGAAAGACAAAGCATTTTCGCTAGTTGAGATAAGGATAGCTATACATAGAGATTCTTAGCGTTGCTTCCATGTACAAATGTGTTACAACCCAAGTTGATTCATCTCTACCTGACCTTTTCACTAGTTCCTCATCCCCTTCTCGTGTTGACCTCTGTCGCTTTAAGGTTTTTGTATTAGTTCCTCTGCAGTGGGGACATCAAACACTTTCATGTTTTGTGTTTCCTACCTATCCCCATACCTCCTGTGTGTGTTCTCCCCTTAGTGTGTGACCCAAGTCCAACCACATTGCTGTATTTGCCCTAGATCTAAAGTCCGCATATGATGGAGAACATACGATGTTTGGTCTTCTGAGCCTGGCTAACCTCGCTCAGAATGATGTTCTCCAGTTCCATCCATTTACTTGCATCATTCCCAGAACTTAATGTCTTAAAAAATGTTGTGAATGCTTTAGCTAAGTATAACAAATGGCACAAACTAATGAAACAGGCCAAAACTGGAAGCCAATAGTTTTGAAGTTTATTCTAACTAATGCATTATCAGCCACTTATAATAATTGAAGAATGTGACTTGACTGCCACCATTTTAAAAGAATTTATAGCAATTAATTTTACTCAACAAACATTATTCAGTAACTACCAAAGAGTTTTTTCCTGTTTTACTTTTTTAATAGAATTATCATTGGGCCATAAAATGACCCCCAAGACACTAGTAATCAACTAATGTGTTAGATTAGCTACTGGATAAACAAACAGTAATGAAGTGACCATGTGCTTTATTAAAGAGAGAGGGAGGGAGAAAGAGCATAGTTGCTATTCTCAACGAATAATGGAAAAGACCAAGCAACACACATTAAATCAACAAACTTCAAAGTTGGAAGAGACATCATTTTTAATTCTTTGTTTGCCTGACTCATCTGAAACTGGTTCTCTGTTATTTTAAGCAGGTTGGTAATGAGGTTACAGCCATTTACTAACACTGTGAAAAGCCCCTCCTGCTAATAATGACTCAGTCATTAGACTAATAGTCACTGAGCACCTACATGCATCAGTGCTATGGTCTGAATGTTGTGTCCCTCAAATTCAGATATTGACATCCCAACCCCCAAGGTGATGGAATTAGGAAGTGGGACTTCGGGGAAGTGATTAGGTCATGGGAGCAGCGTCCTTATGATTGTGGTTATGCCCTTGTAAAAGAGACCTCAGGGAGGCCTGTCCTTTCCCCCATATGATGGCACAGAGAGATGGTACCATCTATGAACCAAGGAGCAGCCCTCACCAGAAACTTAATTTTCCAGTACCTTGATCTTGGATTTGCCAGCCTTTGGAATTGTAAGAAATATATTTCTGTTGTTTCTAAGTCAGTTAGTCTATGGTATTTTGCTATAGTAGCCTGAAAAGACTCAGACATCCAGGTTGTATGTTGGATGCTAAGGATACAGAGATTCCGAGCTAGGGACCAACTTTCAAGTGAGTGGGGGTGGAAAAAGTTGAACAGAGAAGAGTTCTAATGCATTCAGAGATCTACCGAGAGACATCAGGGAAGGCTTCTCAGAGAAGCAAGGAACATGCCAGTTTGTATTGCAGTGTTTGAAATGGCCCAGTAGCTAGCTCTTTCCACCTGAGAGCTGAGTCACTCATGAACTATGACCAGGAAGTTTGCAGTTGGAGACTAAAATGTTACATTTATCCTGATACAGCTGATATGGGAGATCATGGCTTATATCTGCCAACAAGCGGGCTTCTTCAAATTAAACTGAACTGGAATGTTAGTCCCCAGCATTCTAGGACTAGGAAAGACTTTGCCCACTGTAGGAACAGAGCATTCCTCTGGAGCATGAACGAGAATGGTGTCTCTGGGGACAGGTTGCATTAAAAAATGATGGAATTCATGCTCACATATTGACTATGGTGTGAATGGCATGGTATAAATGTGTACATGTATATAAGTAAACTTTAACTCCTGGAGGTGATTAGTCAGCATTCATTCCTACTCAGGAATCCTCATTTCAGAGATGTTTAAGCACTACAAATTGTATTGCATCCATATCGGGGTGAACCTTTCTTGTAAGGTGCTTGTTGAAATGCACAAGAACAGAGAGAGGAACTATAAGTTTATACTAACATGTTGCATGACTATGTTTATGCCTACTTGCTGATAAATACATATATTTGGTAGGATTTGGTCTAAGGCTGGCTTTTATTATAAGACCACTTTATGGCTAAGTTTTAGGGTATGATGTATACTTCACCCTGCTTTCTTTGATAGAGGTTATCCAAATAAACCAAAAGAGATTGGCCACTCAAGAATGGTTACACTAGCTTGGGTCAGTTCACCACATCCTTTTCAATCAGGTAAGTCACTCTTCCTTGACCACAGGAGTGGAGAGGAGAGGGTGCTACACTGACAGATGTCCCTTAACATGGGAAGGAAAATCAGTAGTAGGGAAGAAGAGCTCCTCACTAACAGTGAACAAATCTGTCTTCCAAGCAATGGGAACAGTATGTATAAAACCATAGGGGTCTGATTAGTATGCTTAGGAAATTATAAATCATTCAATATTCCTAGAGTATAAAAGGCAGCAGGGGAAACATGTGGAAAAGAATGAAGAAATATAGGCTGGGATCTGTCACAAATCCATACAAATAATGTAAGAACCTGTAAGCAATACTAAGTAGGATGGAATTTGCTCATTAAAAAACTCATTTGGGGGCTGGAGGAGTGGCTCAAGTGGTAGAGAGGCAGCCTAACAAGCATGAGGCCCTGAATTCAAATTCCATTACTGCCAAAATAAAATAAAAACTCACTTTATTGACAATGAAGAGCAGAGACTGTAAGGCAGAAGGTAGTGAGACCAAGAAAGGAAGGAGATGACAAAGAGGTGATGAGAAGGCCTGAACTAAAAGGCTGACAGGGAGAAGGTGATAGATGAAAGAAAGGAGAATTGGAAGGGTCTAGTGACTGTGTGACTATACGGAATAAGGGAGGGAAGCCTGTAGTACCATCTCCATTTTCAAAGTACACGAGTGGACACACATCATAGAGAAATATTTGTTCTATAAATACTTAGCCACTAATGTATAAATAGCAAATTTATATTACTAATTATTAGTGGTAGATTGTACTTCCAAAGATGACTGCCACAAACACAAATCTCCATGTATAGAATCTTACCGCTAAGAATGTCTTAATGTATGTTTCCTATGTTCAGTAGATAAAATTAACTTCTTCTTAGGCAGTGCTTGGCATCTGGCAGCTTCTCAATAAATACCTGCTGAATAAATAGAAGCATAACTCACAGGAAGTATGGGGATAGGTAAGAAACCCAAAACATGAAAGTATTTGATGTCCCTACTATAGAGGAACTAATACAGAAACTTAAACTGACAGAGCTCAACATCAGAAGGGGATCAGGAACTAGTGAAAAGGTCAGTAAGAGTTGAATTAACTTGGGATGTAACACATTGGTACATGGAAGCAATGCTAGGAATCTCTCTGTATAGCTATCCTTACCTCAACTAGCAAAAACGCTTTGTCTCTCTTATTATTGCTTTTGTTTTCTCTCCAACAAAATTAGAGATAAGGGCAGAACAGATTCTGCCTAGAAGCGAGGGAGCTGGGGGCTAGGAGGGACCAATGACCCAAACAATGTATGCACATGGGAATAAATGAATATAAATTAAAAAAAAAGAAAAATTGAAATATCATCCTAAATAAATAAATAGACACATAACACCCCTGTGTGTTAGTTATCCATTATTGTGTAGCAAGTTATCCCCCAAAACTTGTCATCTTAAAGCAATGGACATTTTTTATCTCATAGTCTCTGTGTGTGGAGACTCAGGGAATGGCTTGCTGGGTGGTTCTTGCTCAGAGAGTCTTGCAAGACTGCAATCAAGACTGCAGTTAAGGTGTCAGCTGGGACTATAGCCATCTAAGACTTGATGAATTTGTGGGATCCCCTTCCAAGCTTATTCACCTAGCTGTTTGCCAGAGGCCTCAGTTACTTGTCATGTAAACTTCTCTTCATAGGGTTGGTTATATATGACAGCTGACAGGTCCAAGAGCAGATGATGATGATGATGGTGATGTGTGTGAGTGTGTGTGTGTGTGTGTGTGTGTGTGTGTGAGAGAGAGAGAGAGAGAGAGAGAAAGGGAAACAGAGACACAGACAGAGAGAAACAGACAGAAACAGAGACAGACAAAGGTGCCACACAACCTTTTATAACCATGTTTCAAGTCTTACACTATCACTGTGCCTTATTCTATACATTAGAAGGAAGAAGTCACTACTAAGTTCAGTCATCACTCTGGGGTGGGAGAAGAAAGCATTACCCAATATTAGGAGGCAGGGACCATCGGGGTCCATCCTGGGGGCTACCTGTTGCAGCTCGTGAATTATTAACTGACTATGCAAACAGCAGCCTCCAAATTCTCGAATATGTTCTGTGTCGTGAAAGTC